TTTTCAATCTTTCAGTGCTTCTTGGTTCAATTCTTCTTTATATGTCATGATGGCGCACTACCAGTATACCAGTGCCCATTGCTTCAGCTGAAGCACCACCCAGAGTATCACTAACTGAGCCATTCTTAATAAGTGATCCTGGAAAAATACCACAAATCAATCTTTTGGATTAGCTTTATTCACTGAGGATGTCATAAAATGAGATGACATTACCAGACTAGACAGCTTCTAGCATTAAATTGTAGTCATGTGGCTCTTAATTTGACATTTATAATTTCACTTAAATCTTTCCCTCAGAACTACAGAATTATCTATTAATGCCTGCCATTATTCCAGATTTTAATTTTCACTGCATTTCAGTGCCATGGATCATTGCACTGGAAGCTTCAGAAAGACACTGCAGACTGTGCCTAGCAGTGTGCAGCACCTCCCAAACTGGGACATGGGATGGGCAGTGGGTGAGACCAAGAGAGGGAATAAGCAAAACTAAACTGCAGTTGCATGACTCCAGTGCACATATACTATATACCAGTCTTAGATGTGGAATTTGGATTTTTAGACTAAACTGAGTGAGGGAGAGGCACATCTGTTGCTGGACTGCCACTGTGCTCATCTGCGGCCACAGCACTCTCTCCTTCGCTTATGCCTGTGCCTATAAAAAGCGTCTAAGGTGGTTCTAGTGCCCTGGAGGACTGGGCAGTAGAATATATCCATGTGCTACCTCTTCCACAGGATAAAGACTTCTATCCCATACTGGCAACTTCCATGTGCTCTCACTGACTCCCAGTTTGAAAGCTCTGTATGAAATTCAGAAGGATTGTACCAGCTCTAAATATCACACAGATTCTTTGCAATTTCTCTCACATCAGCTCAGTCAGTGCCAGTGGCCAGGTCTCAGATGCTAATGGCTATCATTTAAAGGTTGCCTTTAATGCAAAATCAGTCAAGGAAAAAGCAATCATTTTATAGAATAGTAGTGTATTGATTTAGTTTGCAACACTGGGATGTCTTAGCTATTCACGACCAGTGTGCCACCCTATTCCCTGTGAAATCATTCTTAAGATGTAAATCGTGAGGCAAAAAGGATTTGGGAAAGGGGCTTTTTCTGCTCTTCATACTCGCTTGCTCTTCCTTTAAACTGAGCACCATTCACTCTAACGTATGTATTCTGAATAGCTATGCAACAGAGAGTAATTCAATTTTCCCACCACAATCAACAAAATGTTCTTCCCCTGATCACTCCACTTTGTACATTACTTTGTGGCCACTTCAGTGTCGAATTTGGTCTTCCCTGCAATACCCAAATGCTTCTAACACAATTTACAGCCTACTCAGAGAGCACCTTCTTGGAAATAATGTTAATCAGGATAATTTCTCCTCTTACTTTAAAGAGCTCTTGATTGGGCACTTTCAATCAGCTGTTAGCCAGAGTTACCTCAGGATTTCTCAAGTTCTTATGGTGAAATGGGACAATGCCATTTAGCAGTCAGAGAGCATGTTTAATGGATCACACTAATCTCAAGGAGGGCCTATGAAACTCTAATTTGTCAGGTTTCATTACATTCAATAATGACTGTAATTTTCCTGAAGCGTTCTGCGCACTGAAAAATTATGTACCACAGTTCTGCACCCCATTTTGTCTAACTCTGTATGCAGAAAAATTGAAGGCATCTCGATCTCCATGGCTACTACCCATGAGGGGCCTGCGAAAGAGGGTTAAGAGTTCACTGTCAGATGTATTTATCTCAGAAGCAGGTATAATTCTTTTGCAAACAGCTAAGTGTCAGTGCAAAGCCAAGCTGATTCAGGGTAATAAAAGCACTTCTGCAAAGCTTTTAGGTGACACCATATCCCTCACAAGCTTTCTTCACCCCTGCATCTACTTTATCATCCAATACCATCATTACCTTGACCAGCCTGCACATTATTTCCTTTCCAAATGGATCGATTTCAAAACAGCTCATCTGCTAATGCTCAGCACAGGTTTGGGTGATTCTCTTATTGTTTCAATTATTTCTTTGAGGAAAGTTCAATCCTGTTAAGCAAACAAACCTTTTATCTCAGCTGAAGACTCTGAGCTACAGTTGCCACTGACAGATCAAGAGCTTCTGAAACCTCCATTGCAATTGTAGTACCCTCAAGTGACAGATATCCCAGTTTAGTTCATTACACAAAAATGACAGTGTTAGCTATAACCCAGCGCATTAAATAGGTGAGCTATTACAACTAACCAAGTCCTGCACTTTTCTGAAGGAAGCATGTTCCATTCAGTAAATGGCATGTGATCTCCCCGATTTTGATCTGCTGAGGCAAAGGAATGAGTTCCCAAAGAGCAAAGCAAAAGGCACATACAGCTCCACCTGATTTCCAGGGGCTATGGTCTGTGCAGCTAATTCTGATTTGGAGAGCAAACCAGCATTGGTCAAGATTCGAAAGTGAACCTGTCAGGCTCTCTCAGATGTCTTTGGAGATCTGGCCTGGCAGTCCATAAGTAATGCAGAGTATGCAGACAAGAAAGCTCGAGGCAGAAGACAGTGGTCACAAAGGAATAAATAGAGCAAAATAGATGATCTTCCAGTTGCTGCTTGTGTGGCAAGTCTACTCTATCTGTATGCCTCTTCACTCTGGGGTAACAGTGCCTATGAGCTTTACAGAGACTGGAGTGGCTCTCTGTGCACAGCCATTCAAAATAAAAAGCACTATACGCTGAATGAGGGCCAAGTAATTTGATTATAAATGTCTGCAGTTAAATTTTAAAGTCCACAATCAACTCCCAGAACAATTTTATGTAAAATTTTGTCAGCTATGCTAAAGAACAGTGTTTACCAAGATCTGCCTTTCATGCAGTCCAATAAACACCAGGTTGGTCAGCAATTCTCACTTGCAGATCTGTCACACCAGCATTTAAATTACTTTCCTAGCCTCACTCGGATAAGCAAGTAGGGCCAAAAAAAACCCAGCCTATATGAGACCAAAGAAAGTTACTTTCTGTTCATTATTGCCTTTAATATGCCAGGCTGGTACTGGACATTCTGTCGTCACCAGCGAAGTCCTGAGCAGCAGCCGTAGCTTTCCTACACTTAACACTAGTCCAGAATATACCAGGAGGAGCTTAATTCTGCAAAAATGTGACCTGACCCCTAATCAAATGACAGAGCATTATTTTACTCAAATCGCTCTAGGATTCCCACAGGCACAATTCTGCACACACAAATTTCTCAGCTCTTGTACAATAGCCAGATGTGCGCATCTTCACATGGTGCTCACCGGAAATTTACTTTTCAAGTGTCTTATGTCCCCAGGAGAGTAGCTGCTGGGGACAAGGAAATTAGCCCTGTTCAAAGCAAGGGATTCAAATGTCTCTTAAACTTGTAAATAACGGGAGCTAAGTGCAAACTTTGTGGCTCAGCTCATCACCACGTATCTAGAGATGCCTTAGTATGCCAAAGCAAGTACAGTAGATAACCCTATTATTCCTACATGGCATTCCCATTCCCAATTTGAAAAAAGCTTTGTAAGTGCAACATGCTTTGCATTACCTGAATGCAGAAACAGCTCTCTGTCCTGCAGTGTTTTGTTAAAATGCTTCAAATGGCCCTTGGCCTTCTGTGCCTAGGGCTGATCCGTGCTCACCTGTACCAGCCGCCCCCAGGCTTAAGCCCTCATTGACAAAAAAAGCCTATTTGTTGTTCACTGCTTTAACATTGACATAGAAAGAAGCAGAACACTTTTGAAATATCCACCTTGGTCACGTTTGTGACTCGGGCACTTGGGAAATTCAAGCCACTCTGAATGATGCCGCTTTACTGGGAGAACATCAGAAGTAGCAGGATGTCTTACACTGACATATTGGTTCCACTTTGCTAGACATACAAGATCAAAGTCATCCCTGGCGGAACTCCATAACCTTCAACAGACGGGATGAATTTGGTCCCATATGCCCACAGCAGCTGGGGAATACAATTGTTTTCCTCCTTTCATCCATATTTTGAAGATACAGAGACTGATTTTCCACTTGCAAGGCAAGCTGAGATTTCTGTACATGTGCAATGTGAGGCAAACAATTTGTATTATCATACATGGCCCTGGTACGCTTGTTATGGTCATCTGTGGTACATATCTAGATTTTAAATTAAATGCAGCTATAAATAGCGTAGGAAGAATCAAGCTGGAGATTATTTTATCAGACACTCAGCAATCTGTTCAACTGGCTTTCCTGTGTACTAAACATGGCATCAGAGTCCATTTTGAATGTACAATTATGTTTTTTTTTTATGTAGCATCCCCTATCATCTGTTGTACTCATAGAGAGAAGCAGCTCGTAAATACCATTTCACATTCCAAACAATTCGCTATAGGCAACTACATCATTGCTTTGTTCAAATAAATTTAAATAAATCATTATTAGAATGTTTGATCTCAGCAACTTGACTTTTCTCCCAGAGCACAAATTAAATGCATGCTTAAAGCAGAATATTTTAGATGGAATAGATGGAGTTATTCCCAAACTGTTCATGAGATAGGAGTAGACATTTCCATCTAATTTTTCACCTGTAATGTAATTTCTTTAGTTTTCTCTGTACGTTTAAAAACCACACATTTAATTTGCAGGGGTTTCCCTGGAAGTGCGCAGTAGAATAGATGACTGTGCCGCAATCTGTTCATCCATCAGCCGGTGCTTCCTTTGACTCACTCTGCATTCTGCTCCAAACACTTCATGGGAAAGGCCAAGAACGGCACTATGTCCCACTTGCTGCTTAACATGATTACATTACAAGCAAACTGTTGTTGTTAACCAAAATTTGCAAATAAAGTCATTGGAAGATAAATCTATTTCTAGTAAATATTTCTGTGTTTGGATTAATTGAACAGAGCTAGTCCTCGCTAGCTCAGATTTACAGCCCAGCATCCACCCATGCATCTCAAAATGAAATATGCTGTTCTCATCAGTATTAATCAATTACAAACACATACATCCTAATTGTCCTTGACTCACAGACCACAACAAGTGACTCGGAGAAGAAAACCAGAGGGCACAGTCACATAGCAACTGTCACTCAAGCCTGGCTCTTCCACCCTGCCGAGCCTGAAAACTCGGTGGACCTGTACCATGGCTGTCCATGTGGACCCTTTCCTCCTCCAGGAAGAACACCATGTGTCTGCTGTTACACTTACTCCACTTGCATGTCCTGCTGTAGGCATTGCTGGTATGTCTCAGCTGACAGCCCAGCAGCTATACATCAGTTTAAATGGACATGAAAAATGCAGCAGAGGCAGAAACACAGCTGAGAAGCCTCTATCAGGATTCAACACAAATACCACCTGCCCACATGGTGTTTCATCTCAGTCTTGATCTCAGAGATACACTGGAGTTGTGCAATCTGGAGCAACATCTGTGTCAAGATGAGGGTGTGGGAGAGGTTCAGGCCAGAGGATGCTCACTTCCAGGCTCTCACAACTTCGTGTTAGCATAGATAACTCTCCTATCTGGGGTAAAGGGTAGGGGGTGACTGCAGATAGGGGAAAAACCTCTTGCAAGTCCTTGTCTTTCCCTTCCTGAGCATTCCTGCCCTCAGAAACCAGCAGAATTTCCAGCAGAGGAGAAGGACCAAATCAAATCTCTTCGCTTATACTTAATCTAAGTATACTGCATATCCTTATTAAGGTTGGCCAGATCTGTTCTCAAACTAGCATATCATAGAAAATTGCTTCAAATATAGAGGCTTTCCATTCCACAGCCACGGTGATACCATGTGAATAGCAAGTAACCATGTACTGGGAACCCAGTGAAGCTTCAGTAATACAGCCATGGAAGATGGCAATAATTTATCATCTCTGCAGTAGTTTAATCCCAGATGCACCATTTGCTAATTTATTTCCATATGTACCTGGCAGACAGATTAATCAGCCATCTCTCTCAGAAACCTAGATTGCACTTTATCCCTTTAGTAAGCAAGAGAAAACAAACGTACACAGCAAAATAAGAGTCCTTTACAGAGCAGCTCTGTCAACCTTTACAGCTTGCCGTTTCCTTTTTTAGCTTAACAATGGCTTTTCAAAAATCTAACACCCAATCTCCTTTCACATCAGTGCATTTCTCCATCTACTTAAGTCTCTTTGCTAACGCTTGTGAAAATGAAGACAGAGATACAGAGCAAACATACCTTCTACTTCTGGAGCCAGCTGGAGAGAGCAATGTGCTCCAGGGAGAGGGGCAGCAGCCCTGCGCGGGGCCAGGGCCATCGCCGTGGCAGGCAGCAATGCCTCGGAGCTGAGGAGGCTGTTTCTCTGTGCTGGGGTTTGCAGAGTTGCAAAATCAGGATAATAATATTTTACAAAACATTTTGAGCTCTACTGAACTAATTACTATTATCAGCAGTAATGTGCTTCCGACGCGCTTAGCCCTTCTTCTGGAAAACTCTGCAAAGGGGCTGCACTTGAGGGAGCAAAGCAGCTGTTAGGACTTCAGCGATGTTATTGGTAACAAACACAGTGTCAATTCTGTGCCTAGTGCCCTTTAAGGATCTGTTTGCAATTCGCTCTCTATTTTGATTATAAGACATTATCTGCATTAAACATAATTAGCCATATTATATCATTTGCCAATCTCAGCATAGTCACTTGACAAGGAGGGATGGATTTGAATGAAAGCACAGCACAGTCTGAAGCCCAAGGAGATGAAGTGAGTAGGAGCTGGCACAGAACCAGAGGGGACACGGGCTCAGGCATCTCCACACCCCCCCACACCCCCCCCGGCTTTTTATGTGAAGGGTGTCACTTGCATAGCCATGCTGTGACTCTGTTCCCTGGATCAGAGCATGAACAGGCACATGCAAAACCTCATTATCAAACCACAGAACAGTAATAAAATGATTGCTGAAAATGAAATTATTTATGAGCTTCAGTATCCTTGTAACAGTTACAATAATCAAAATACATAAATATTTGGATATGCTACTGACAGATGGTATATACTGGAATAATCACACAGAATATGTCAGTTTTCAGAATCAGCCTATTCCAGAGTTGGCATGTTTCAGGGCTTTCTGATACTAAAATAAGCACCTGGTATTTGATCCTCCAAAAAATGCATTTTCACAAACACATGGGTGTCTTTTGATAGAAAAGCTACCAGGCTTGTCACCATCCACAGACACTACCCAAATAACAGTGTACTGCCACCGGCTTCCTTTGCTTTGCCTGCACATCGGTTGGAAAGGCAGGAGCTAGCCTTCTTGTTAGAGCTGGGGCTGTCAGGATGGAGTGACAGTGCCTTGCCAAAGTGCATCTGTGATTTGGGTTTGATCCACATGTTGCCTGAAAGACAAACTTTCATTTGCAACCTGAGAATGAACAACTCGACTTCTTTTGCCTATTCTCTGTTGGCAAGTCTGAAAAAGTCAGGGCTTTTGGAGAGCTCTGGTTGGAAATAATTAATGCTCATTAATAATGATTAAAACAATTACAGTGGACAAATATGCTTATTTGTGTTAGGCATCAATGATGTGGTAGTGTGTGCCCTGGACTAAGAAACCCATGAGGAGAAGACAGCACCAGGTAAAGGGGAGGAGAGCAAAGGCCATGTCCCCCGTGGGCTGCTCCTCCATCCCTGCCCCCAGGACAGTGGGGCATGGGACCAGCATGCACGTGAGAATAGGGACACTATGCTATCACCCCCCCAGGGTTATTCCCAAACAGCAGCCTCCTTCCTCTCCTGCATGAGACAACAGCCTGGAGAAGACCCAGCTTCAAGTGGGTTCTTGGCCATCTCTGGCCCCAGAGGATTTCTCTGGGCCACATCCTCCTCTTAGCAAGTCCAAAACACGTTGGCCATGGCCCTCCCAGGTAGCAATTCCTGATTCCTCTCCACAAACACCAGTATTTCCAAAACGCTGTTTACAGCCCCACGTAACAAGCCATTTTAGCTGATAGTAGTTGGTGGTAAACAGACAAATTTAGAAGATTATTAGGCATTCATTTATTATGTTACACTCTTCAGTTTTCTCAGACAATCAAATTGGTAAATTAGAGCCATAATTTTCCACCAATTAATACCAGATGTGACATATTTTGACATTAAAAGAGTAAATATAAAAGAACTGTCAAACACTTCATATCCCTAATATAATACCGTCCGAATGGAAAACCTAAAATCCTCCTGCCTCAACCCTGTTCTGAAAAACAAACGATGCTGGCATTTCCAACAACTGCACATTCACATGCTGCATGCTGATCCCTCCGACAGTCACTAACACCTTTCCCAAATGCATGCTGACTAAAAAGCCCAAACCCCGAAGCAATATTTATACCTGTAATCCAGTATAGCACATACTGTCATAACATAAAGGGAGATGCCAATAACAAGCAAGAGAAAATGCCAAAGATAAACCAGGGCCATTACATGTTCTCAGTGCAGTACAGGAAAATGCTACCAAAGCTTTTAGAAAAGAAAATGGAACCTGAAAACCTTGATTTGGCTCCATTTGCAATCATCTGTCCTGGTGCTTCCCGTTTCTAGCCTAGGACATCGCAGCATCAGTTACGGGATGGTCTGCAGCACGCCATGACCCCAGAGTCAGTCAGACTCTGCGTTAACACAGCTGACCCGTGTGACAAAGACACAAGGGGATAGGGGGGACACTGTTCTCTGTAGTGCCAGGCCCTGCTGCACAGGACACAGCAGTGTTGCCTGCTCCAGTGATGCTCTACTATCCAGGGAGGAGAGACACGGAGCTCTGGGAGCAATTAAGACTCATCTGCTTTTAATTGCATCAGCTACAGTGTTGGGGAAGGGGGAACATACCACACAGCCTCTCTTTTTTACTTCAGTTATAGCCATATCCCCTTTTTCTGTACAGTCCCAGGCAGCATGGATTTTTGATACAGGCTGAAGGTGACTTTGCAAAGAAGGAAATATCCCTTCACACACCACATGCCCCTACCCTCAAGCACATTTCCCTATGAATTTTCCCCATTTGTGCTTTGTAGCTGAACTGGAATCACACGGTCCATCACCGGTATCACATAGTACTCACTCTGTCAGTTGTCTGCCACATCCAGCATCACTTCCCAAACTCACAAGGCAGCAATTGCTGCAGACTTCACATTTTACCACAACATACACTGAAAGGGAACAAAACCAGGAGGATGCCTGGAAAACAGTAAGCTTTTTCCAGCAGTGGCTGCTTTGCAACTCAGGGCAGCAGGCAAAGCTCCACTATAATTACAACCTGCTGGCAAAGTCCCTGAAGTAAAATGCACCCAGGTGGAAATCACTCTCCCCCTTGTGTTTCACCATGCTCATAGAATGGGCTTCTCATGCACAGCCAGTGTTTTGCCAGTACAGCCAGGTATCTGACACACTTCCTAGTGGCCAGACTTAACTGGACAAATCTGGTACTCGACTTCAGCAGAAGTTTTTTCTCCCCATTATAAGTCATGGCCTTTGCATGTCTTTTCACCCAAATTAACTGGCTCCATCAGGCTCCAAAATCTGCAAGGGCATTCAGCCACAAGAGGAAAAAAGCTGGACTGTAAATGGGCTGAGACACACTAGCAGCAATGTTACTGTAAATCTGCAGAAAGGTCCCCATGGGGCTCTGGATCCAAAGCAGACAGTGCAAAGCTACAGTCAACTGGTACAGGCAAAGACCATCTCTACTGGCCATACAACATTTGTGATGTGATGAAACACAGTCTGAGGCTCCAGAGCAACTACAAAGCCTGCCCCAGACTCTGTCCAGACACTTTTCTGGAAATATATGAAAATAGGGCTTGAAGCAGAATTGGAGCCTAGGCAGAAATCTCCCCCTTTCTGTTTTTTCCCATAAACGGGCAGTGGGGGGCAGAGGAGAATGGACTTTAAATGGCTTTGCAAGAGGAACCCAGATGAAAGCAAATCAGCTACAACTGAGAATATCCAATCTACTTAACTGTCCTGCACAGAATTAATTTTGCCCAGTGGAGCTGTGACCTTCATGAACATCAGGTCAGCAGCAGCCCTACTATCTCCAAATGAAGGTGGAAGATAGTCATCCCTTAGCGGGCCACCACAACGTGAGAGAGAAAAGAGCTCTTTTATAAAGTATGGTCTCTGGATCAAGAGGAATGTTACTGTAAGATTACACTGCAAATCTAATCCCCTGTCCCTAACAGTCAACAATCTGATACATGAACCTGCCTTTCATTAAAGAGGCTGGCAATTCAAGCAATGGGTAGGGAATGAGGCTGCCGGCTGCATCAGCCAGCACAGGTGGATGTCCACATCAGCTCCTCCTGGTGAGGAGTCCTTACATATGTTCATCCAGGTACATGCTGCAGCACATCTGAGCAAGGAGTTAAAAAGGGCCTTAACATTTTCTGTAATGCTGGTGCAAACTGTGTCCTGACTGTCTTGTCTCCAGCTGTTTCCAGAATGCCTGTCAACATGGTATATGACTGCTTTAATGTTCAAACTGACTTCTGACAACCTCACTCACTCCTCCCAGAAAGGGGGACATAACATAGTTCCAATACAGAAAGAGCCATACCCAGTAACATTGCCTACCCAAAAGCCAGGCACATACAAAGGGTAGTTGTCCAGGTCTCTTCCTACACAAGCCAGAGCAGGTCAAAGGAGCCAAGTGACTTGCACCAGAATATGTTGGCCAGTTAGTCCCACCCAACTGGCGATGTGTTATTAACAGATGTTACTGGTGTCAGCCCTGCCAAGATGGGAAGGCTGTAAGGTTTGTATTTCTAAGCTCAACAGCTGTGGGAAAAAAAAAGCATCTTCCTTTCAC